GGGCAGTACAGCCATCTAGCCCAAGCTTCATTGTAGTGCCATCACTAAGTTGGATTCAGGCAAGATTCATTGCTGGGCACTCTCCATCCACAGGGAGACACACCAGACTTTGTGCCTCCTGCTGACACCACAGGCAGTATCCAGCCCACTATGAGGGGCCCTCTTCCCAAAATGACCATTGGTTCTAACCCCCAGTTCAAAGAAAATTAAGAGACAGAGGAACCTGTTACATCACTCCTGGGGGCTGTTACTAGCAAAATTCAGACTCCAGAAGCTCCACAGGACCAAGAACCCTGCCTCTTCCACAAGTACATTACAAGAGGGATAAAATGGAGAGACAACACATTGGTTAAAATATACTAGACATTTAACCAAGTGCAACCAGTTGAATTTAATAAGACACACACACACATACTCACAAAATAAATATTTTCTCTTACGAGATAGTTGTGATATTTTACTATATAAAAAGGAGTTCTTATCTTTTAAAGATGGGCAGTGAAGTACAGATGAAATTATTTACCTCAGACTAATGCTCAGTCATGAGTTAATCACTTTTGAACCAGGCACCAGGCACCAGGCACCAGGGGGGTCATCATGCCATCATTTCTTCTACTTTTTTGTATCTTTGAACTTACCCATAATAAACAAATTTCAATGTCCAGTACTGTCTTCCAAACCTCAAAACTTCCCTCTCAAATCAGATTACAAGTGCATTCTCTCCCTTATGGGGGAGGGGGTGATATATACTTTCCCCTCCCTTGGAGCTAAAAGGGACTTTTGTTTAGTACTAGGACATCTGCAGTCTTTCATCTCCTGGCTTGGTCCCTTCTGGAACTGGGTCGAGAAGGAGGCAAGCAGGTGGAAGGAATGTCTTAGTTAACTGAAGGCATCTCCATGTGACTGTGTAGATAGAACAAGAAGACTTCCTGGGGAAATTGGGCCTCATCTCAGAACCCACACTGTTGAACTGTGCCTTTCTGTGGTCCATACTCACTCCTATGAGATGGAGCATCTCTTCCCTGAACTGTCAGCTCAGGGTCACCTAATGGCTCATACCCCTCCTCTGTATCCTCTAAGGGTCATGGGGACAGTGTAAGCTCCCTTCTTGCAGGCACTGATCTGTACAACACTTTGAAACAGATATAATAGTAAAAGGAGAGAAGGATGATAAAATATATCATAATACAAATCCTATCAGCATTAAGTAAATTAAAGGAGATAAACCTTTACATGGCACACAGTAGGCACTACCACTTAGTATGTGCTACCAATTGTATATCATTTTGTCTTACTGTGATGGCTTGAGTGTTGCTGACATGCTAGAATCTATACCACCATTATTTGAACAGCAGAGTCACCCATGATGGAAAGGTTTCAGCTGAGATTCCAGACTGAGACAGACTAAAAAGGAGAGTAAGATTAATTTAGAATGTTTAGCCACTGAAATTCTTATGAATAGCAGTGGAACACTGTCAGATAGCATCAGAACATTGAAGCAACATGAATAGGTTCAGAATACTGTCAGATACATTGCCAAAATATTTGCCCCTTAGGTTGAAAGGCATTCAAAATACGACTGGGGAAGAACTTCCTCCTTATATTAGGGTTGAACGTGATGAAGTGAATGGAGTAAAGCTTTTGGGATTTTAATTTAATGATGAGGCACAACTCAATTTGAGGAGAAACAGCTGTAAATATCCATTAATAATCAGAACACGGAACGTATGAAGTTTGAATCTAGGAAAACTGGAAATTGTCAAACATGAAATGGAAAGCATGAAGTTAGATATCCTATAAATAAGTATGCTAAAATGGATTGGTACTGGCCATTTTGAAGTTGACAATTATATGGCTTACTATGACAGGAATGATAAATTGAAGAGGAATGGTATCGCATTCATCATTAGAAAAAACATTTCAAGATCTACCTTGAAGTGTAATGCTGTTGGTAATAGGATAATATCAATATGCCTACAAAGGAAGACCAGTTAATACCACTATTTTTCAAATTTACACAGCAACCACTAAAGTCAGTGATGATTAAATTGAAGAATTGTACCAACTTCTTCAGTCTGAAATTGATCAAATATGCAACCAAGATACATTAATAATTACTGATAATTGGAATGCAAAGGTTGGGAAAAAAGATGAAGGGCCTGTAGTTGGAAAATATAACCCTGGTGATAGAAATGATGCTGGAGATCCCATGATAGAATTTTGCAAAACAAATGATTTCATTATAAATATCCTTTTAAACAACATAAAAGGCAACTATACACATGGACCTCACCAGATAGAATTCACAGAAATCAAACTGACCGCATCTGTGGGAAGAGACAGTAGAAAAGCTCCATAGCATCAACCAAAACAAGGCCAGGGGCAGACTGGTACGGACCATCAATTGCTCATATGAAAGTTCAGACTGAAGCTGAAGAAAATTAAAATGGTCCATGAGAGCCACAATTTGACTTAGAATATACCTTACCTGTATTCAGAATTAATCTCAAGAACAGATTGGATGCATTAGACAATAATGACCTCATACCAGAAGAGTTGTGGGATGACATCAAAAATAACATACAGAAAGAAAATTAAAAGTCATTAAGAAGACAAGAAAGAAGAAAGTGACCAAAATGGATGTCAGAAGAGACTCTGAAATATACTTTCGAGCATAGAGATGCTAAAGCAAATGTACGAAATGAGGAGGTGAAAGAGCGGAACAGATCATTTCAAAGGACAGCTCAAGAACACAAAGTCTTACATACAAAGTATTATAATGAAATATGCAAAGACCTAGAGTAAAAAACAAAAGAGAAGAACATGTTCAGCATTTATTAAGGTGAAGGAATTGAAGAAAATATTTAAGCTTTGACTTGAAATACTGAAGGATCCTATGGGCAAAATATTGAATGAAACATAAAGCATCAGAAAAAGATAGACAGAATACACAGAGTCACTGTACCAAAAAGAAATGGATGAAGTTCAACCATTTCAAGAGGTAGCATATAATGAAGACCCAATGGTAGCGAAGGAAGAAGCCCAAGCTGTACTGAAGGTATTGGTAAAGAACAAGCTTTCAGGAATTGAGGAAATACAAACTGAAATCTTTCAACAAAGATGCAGCACTAAAGACACTCATTCATCTATGCCAAGAAATTTGGAAGACAACTGACTGGAAGAGGTCAATATTTGTGTCCATTACAAAGAGAGGTGACCAAACAGAATACGGAAATCATCATATAATATCATTTCAATCACATGCAAATAAAATTTTGCTAAAGATATTTCTAAAACAGCTGCAACTGTACATTGACAACGAACTGTAAAATATTCAAACAGGATTCAGATGAGGACATGGAATAAGGAATATCATTGTTGACACCAAATGTATCTTGGCTGATGGCAGAGAATACCAGAAAGATGTTTACATGTGCTTTATTAACTATGGAATGGTTTTTGACTGTGTGCATCATGAAGAGCTGTGAATAACATTGCAAAGAATGGGTACTACGGAACACTTATTTGTGCTCATGGGGAACTTGTACACAGACCAAGAGGCAGTCATTCAAACAGAACAAGAGGACACTATGGTTTAAAATCAGAAAAGCTGTGTGCTGGGGTTGTTTTCTTCCACCATACTTAATTCAATCTGTATGCTGAGCAAATAATCCAAGAAGCTGAGTTATATAAAGAAGAACATTGCATCAGGATTGGAGGAAAACTCATTAACAACCTACAATATGCAAATGATACAATCTTGCTTGCTGAAAGTAAAGAGGACGTAAAATAATCACTGATGAAAATTTTAAATTAAAAAACAAACAAACAAACAAAAAACCTTACAGCCTTCAGTATGGATTGTACCTCAGTGCAAAGAAAACAAAAATCCTCACCCGTGGACTAATAAATAAAACCATGAGAAATTGAGAAAAAATTGAAGTTGTCCAAGACTTCATTTTGCTTGGATCCACTATCAACACTCATGGAAGCATAAGTTGAGAAATCAAACAATGTATTGCACTAGGCAAATCTGCTGCACAAGACCTGTTTAAAGGGTTCAAGAGCAAAGACATCAGTTTGAGAACTAAGATACACCTGAGTCAAGCCATGCTATTTTCAATAGCCTCACTGCATGTGAAACTTGAACAATGAATAAGGAAGACTATAAAAGAATGGATGCATTTGATTTATGGTATTGGTGAAGAATATTAAAAATACCACGAGTCCCAGGAGAATAAATATAACTGCTGTTGGAAGAAGTACAGCCAGATCACTCCTAAGAAGCCAGGATGGCAAGACTTTGTCTCTCATACTTCCGACATACTATCAGGAGGGACTAGTCCCTGGAGAAAGACATCTTGCTTGGTAAGGTGGAGGGTAAGCAAAAAGGAGGAAGACCCCCAACAAGATGGATTGGCACGATGGCAGAAGCAATGCGTTCAAGCTTAACAACGATTGTTAGGAAGGCACTGGATCATCAGTGTTTTGTTCTGTTTTTCATAGGGTCGCTATGAGTCAGTAGCAACTTTATGGCACCTAACAACAACAACAACAATAAAGTCCTGGTGTGGCACCATAAAGTAAACACTCAACCACAAGGCAGTTTGAACCATGAGATTGGTGGTTCAAATTCACCAGCCACTTCTTGGAAACCCTATACAGGATTGCAATGGGTCAGAACTGACTCAATGGCACTTAACAACAACAACAATGAAAACAGAGAAAAAGAGATGGAAGTATAAGCCCTTGGAAGGTGGGGGAGATGAAGACACCAGACCACAGAGGAAAAGCTTTCACATTTTCTAAAGAGGTGGTCAGCAGGGGCTTGAGAGTGGATTCTTACAGTGTTGTTCATGACCCATAGGAAAGTTTTATGTGAAACACAAAGAACTCCCCATATCCCAGAACATGGCACTCTCAATGGGAAGCTAGCTCGGTGGATTCTCTGGGAAGGACTTAGGGATCCCAGCCTCCTCCTTTATATCCCATGGTCTCACCATCATTGATCCTCCCAGCCAAGGACTCTGCACTAAAGCCAGCAAAGACAACAGTATGGACTGCACCAATCCTAGCACAGGCCAGCATCGCTGCCACTGCTAATGGAGATACTGGCATGTAGATGGCCACACGGTCCCCTCGTCGAACTTCATGCTTCTTTAATGTATTGGCCAGGCGGCATGTGGTCTCCAGCAGCTCCCTGTGACACAACGAAGAGATGGCCATCAGAGATGAGGGAAAGACAAGGCTCAGAATTTGGGGTGGAATAATTCTGCAGATTACAAATACTGTACACCAGACCTACTGCCTAGGGCATAGCAGGCATTCAAATACTTGATGCATGAAAGGTTCTTCACCAAAAAGAAATGCTTTGAATATTGTAGAATGGTAATGATAGAAATCTACTGCCTCATTGTTGTGGTCTAGAGCAGGGCTTCTCCTTATAAGCACGCATAAGTACACAAAGCAAACCATCATATCACTAAGACTTCTGAAGTCAGGCAGTGGTATTCATGCAGGACACCAGTTCCCACACTTACAAAGGAGGAGACTGAGGACAGTCACCATCTCTGCAGCCCAGAGATAAGGGGGAGCATATTTGTTTTTATCAAATACTCCCTGCAGTTCCCTACTTGGCATTGAATTGAGATGCGGTGGGTGTTTGTTGCTCTGGATGGGATGGTCCATGCTTTTCAAGAATGCCCCACCTATGCTGGAACCCGTGTTCCATGTGGTATGGATGGGCTGACCCCTCCCTCCAATCCTGAGATTATAACAAAATTCAGTCTACCAATTAGAATACCATTTGTCCTTTGGCAAGTAGATTGACTCAGAAGTTAGTATCTGACTGAATCAGCCCAGTCAGAGAACCCAGCCCAATTAGAGTCTATGATACAACTCCATGAAAACAAATGGGAGAAATGTGATGAAAGAGTTGAAACAAGTAAGGCCGATCCCCAAAATGTTGTAACAGCACCTGATCTCGTAACAGCAAACAACACCCAGGACTTTGCAATTGCAGTACCCAACTATCTTCCCTTTTTTGCCCTCTGTAGTTTGTTTGCTAACCTATAGTTATTTGTAATAATAATAAGAAAAAAAGATTTAACACAGGAAGACAAATTAGATGAGCAGAAAGCAAGGCCCCTTCTCATTGGGTTGGGGGTGTGTGGTCAGTAACAATGCACCCCTGTGCTTTTTGGGACTGGAAAGCAAACCCTCATTTGAGTACCTCTTGCCCCTTATAACTGTGCTTGCATAATCCTTTCTGTTCAAAGGCTCATCACAGAAAGGATTCCCAAGAAAAGCTAAGTTCAAAAAGAGGCAGCCAAGATACCATAGTTCAATGAAAATCAATTTCCAGTCTCAGGCAGGGACTTCAAGGAAGTCTTTGTTTCCCAAAGCCTTTCTTGTAAAGCAGATCCATCATAAGCCCTGCCACCAGATTAATTGTGTCTCATGCCCAGGCTGGCTTCAGCATACTTCTTTTGGTGGATTTCATTATTTCAGGAAGAGGACAAAGGTGCCATTCATTGATGCCCCTCACCCTTCAGTTAAGTTTATAATGAAAGAATTGCCTCTGCCCACACCACCAAAATCCACAAAATCCAGGACTGAGAAATATTTCTACTACTCCAAGGGATATCTTTGCTCTTGAACATTTTAAAGAGGTCTTGTGCAGCAGATTTACCTAATGCAATGTGTCATTTAATTTCTTGACTGCTGCTTCCCTGAGTGTTAATGAAAGCAAAGGACTAAGGTGCACGTGACTCAAGTAATGGGAATTTTCAATAACCGCATATGCATGTGACATTTGGACATAAATATAGAAGACCACAGAAGAATTGGTGCATTTGAGCTATTGTGTTGGAGCAGAATATTAAAAGTTCCATGAAACACCAAAAAGAATAAACAAATCTATGTGGGAAGATATACTGCCAGAATGCTCTTTTGATGACAGGATAGCCAGACTTCATCTCTCATACTTGGGACATATTATCAGAAGGGACCAGTCCCTGGAGAAGGACACTATGCTTGGTAAAGTAGAAAGTCAGTGGATAAGAGGAAGACACTGAAAGAGATGGATTGGCACAGTGGCAGCAGCAATGGGCTCAAAAGTAAGGTTGGCACAGGACCAGGCAGTGTTTCGGTCTCTTGTGCATAAGCTTGCTATGAGTCAGTAATGACTCGATGGTACCTAACAACAACAACAGTTCCCAAATGGACAGTTGGGATAGGCTGCAAGTGTTCAAGAGGTAGCAGTAGTCAGCAATTAAGAAGAATAACTCAGGTCTTAGTGAAGATTTCATTTTAAGAGATCTAATGAAATGTGCAAATACTTGGAGTTATAAAACCAAAGGGAATAAATAACACACTCAGCAGTTCTCAAGCTGAAAAGAACTGAAGAAAACATTCAAGCCTTGAGTTGCAATACTGAAGAATTCTATGGGCAAAATATTGACTGACATGGGAAGCATCAAAAGACGATGGAAGGAATACACAGAGTCACTGTACCAAAAAGGATTGGCCAACATTCAAGTATTCCAATGGTAGTGAAGGAAGAAGTTCAAGCTTCACTGAAGGCACTGGCAAAAAAAAAAAAAAAAAAAGTTTCCAGGAAGACATCATAACATCAATTGAAATTTTTCAAAATAACGATGCAGCACAAGAGGTGTTCACTCATGTGTGCCAAGAAATTTAGAAGACAGCTAATTCATTGGAATACATCCATATTTGTGTCCATTCCAAAGAAAGGTGATCCTATGGAATGCACACATCATCAAACAATACTTTAAAATCACATGTAGGTAAAATTTTGCTGAAGAAAATTCAAAAATAGTTGCAGCAATACATCGGTAGGAAGCTTCCAGAATTTCAAGCTGAATTTAGAAGAGGACGTGGAACATTGTGTCACTTCAATTAACATAAAGAAACACAGAAATCATCAAAACTGGAACAATATGCAACATCAAGATAATTGGAGAAAAGAATGATGCTGTCAAGGGTCTTTTTTGTACTTGGATCCATAATCAACAGCAGTCAAGAAATCAAGTGATGTATTGTATTGGGCAAATCTGTACAAAAGACCTCTTATAAAATGTTAAAGAGAAAAGATGACACCATGAGGATTCAGTTTTGCATGGCCCAAGCTATGGTCTTGTGCAGCAGATTTGCCTAATGCAATATACATCATTTGATTTCTTGACTGCTGCTTCCGTGAGTGTTGATAGTTGATCCAAGAAGAATGAAATCCTTGACAACTTCAAACTTTTCTCCATTGATAAGAATGTTGTTTATTGGTCCAGTGGTGAGGATTTTGGTTTTCTTTACATTCAGATGTAATTCATACCGAAGGCTGTGGTCTTTGATCTTCATCTGTAAGTATTTTAAGTCCTCTTCACTTTCAGCAAGCAAGGTTGTATCATTTGCATATCACAGTTTGTTAATGAGTTTTCCTCCAATCCTGGTGCCACATTTTTCTTCATAGAACCCAGGTTCTCGGATAATTTGCTCAGCATACAGATTTAATAAGTATTGTAAAAGAATCCAACCCTGTTTCATACCTTTCTTAATTTTAAACCATTCAGTGTTAGCATGTTCTGTTCGAACAACTGCCTCTTGGTCTATGCACACATTCCTCATGAGCACAATTAAGTGTTCAGGGATACTCATACTTCACAATGCTGCCCATAGCTTGTCATGATCCACACAATCGAAAGCCTTTGCATAGTCAATAAATGTGCTGCACAAGACCTTTTTTAAATGTTGAAGAGCAAAGATGTCAGCTTGAGGACTAAGGTGTACCTGACCCAAGCCATGGTATATTCAATAAGCTCATATGCATGTGAAAGCTGGACAGTGAAAAAGGAAGACCGTAGAAGAATTGATGCTTTTGAGTTATGGTGTTGGAGGAGAATATTGAAAGTGCCATGGACTGCCAAAAGAACCAACAGATCTGTGTTGGAAGAGGTGCAGCCAAAAGTACTCCCAGGAGGCCAGGATAGCCAAACTTCATCTCTCATACTTCGGACATATTGTCACTAGAGAAGGATATCATGTTTGGTAGGGTGGATGGTCAGAAAAAAAAGAAGATCCCCATCAAGATGGACTGGCAAAGTGGCAGCATCAATGGGCTCAAGTGTGGCAACAATGGTGAGGTTGGCCCAGGACCAGGCAGTGTCTCGTTCTATTGTGCATAGAGTCGCTATGGGTTGAAGCCAACTCGATGGCACCTAACAACATGGTATTTTCAATCATCTCATATGCTTATGAAAGCTAGACAATGAATAAGGAAGACCAAAGAAGAGTTGGTACCTTTGAATTATAGTGTGGCAAGAATACTGAATATATCATGGACTAAGAGAAGAATAAACAAATTTGTCTTGAAGAAATATAGCCAGACTGCTCCTTACAAAAAAAAAAAAATGGTGAGACTTGTCTCAAATACTTAGGACATATTTTCAGGAGGGACCAGTCCCTGGAGATGTACATTATGTTTGACAGAGAGTCAGAGAAAAAGATGAAGAGCCTCAATAAGTTGGATTGACACAGTGACTGCAAAAATCAGCTCAACATAACAAAGATTGTGAGGATGGCACAGAGCTGAGGAGTGCTTTATTCTGTGTACACTGCGTCGCTATGCGTTTTAACAACCTCGATAGAACCTCACAACTAGATTCTCGCTCCACTTCCTATGTGCTCTGCCAAGGCCATACAAAGTGAGGCCAATGAGATTCTCAAAGGGCAAATGGTGCAGCATTCTGATGCTTGTAGAGTCTCACTGCCATATTTCTGCTCCCATATTTCTAGTTCCACCCCTTGTTTCTGAAGCTGCCCAGAATAAATCTCATTTGTCATTCAGTGGCAAATTCCTGAATCTTCCCACCACTACCACATCTCTTTAAAGCTTTTTCTCTCCCCAGCTCTCTAATCCAAACCTCCATGACCTCAGTCACTCTCTCTGTACACCCTATGTGACCAAAGTGATCCCCATACTTCTATGGGTATCTTTCCAGACCAATAATCTCAACTCTGTACTAAATAAACTAAAAGCATATTAATTTTCAAACATTCAAAACATGACACAGTGGCTCAATCATGTTCTTGGGTTCACTAGCCTGTGCCCCTTCATCCTCAAAAAGACATAAAGTTGCTCTTAAGCCAGAGTTTTCCCATATTATGGTCATGTAATTATTTTTT